TCCATCCATCCATCCAGTCCCCCCTCCATCCAGTCCCCCCTCCATCCATCCATCCAGTCCCCCCTCCATCCAGTCCCCCCTCCATCCATCCAGTCCCCCCCTCCATCCATCCATCCAGTCCCCCCTCCATCCATCCATCCATCCAGTCCCCCCCTCCATCCATCCATCCAGTCCCCCCTCCATCCATTCATCCAGTCCCCCCTCCATCCATCCATCCAGTCCCCCCTCCATCCATCCATCCAGTCCCCCCCTCCATCCATCCATCCAGTCCCCCCTCCATCCATCCATCCAGTCCCCCCTCCATCCATCCAGTCCCCCCTCCATCCATCCATCCATCCATCCATCCATCCATCCATCTAGTCCCCCCTCCATCCATCCATCCATCTAGTCCCCCCTCCATCCATCCATCCATCTAGTCCCCCCTCCATCCATCCATCCATCCATCCATCTAGTCCCCCCTCCACCATCCATCCATCCATCTAGTCCCCCCTCCACCATCCATCCATTCATCTAGTCCCCCCTCCACCATCTATCCATCCAGGTCTCCCCACCACCCATTCTTCCATCCAGTCCCCTCACCATCTATCCATCCAGTCCCCTTCACCATACATCCAGTCTCCCCCACCATCCATCCTGTTGTCCTCCCAAATACACTATACCGTGCCACCAGGAATCATGCGCTTGGTCAACCCATACATGTACAGTATCAACAAACTATGTAAGGCAGGGCAAAGCTCGTAACTCGATTCAAATTTTACAAAGAAATTGAGCTCATAACCCAAAAAACTCGTAAAGAGGGACGTTCGTATCCTGAGGTTCCACTGAACAGTACAGTATATACTGTATATATAGTATCACTGTATAGAGTATACTGTATACAGTATTATGCTTGAATCCTCTTGAGGTGCCATTTGTAATTATAAACACCTTGTGAGTGATGGTTACAAAGGGTGTGTTAGTAGCTAAAAATAAAAATGGCTGTTCCCACCATGCTGGATACCAACCTGAGTTGAGAGGAAGAGGCATTTAGGGAGGGAGAGAAAGGCATTTAGGGAGGGAGAGAGAGAGAGAGGCATTTAGGGAAGGAGAGAGAGAGAGAGGCATTTAGGGAGGGAGAGAGAGAGAGAGGCATTTAGGGAGGGGGGGAGAGAGAAAGGCATTTAGGGAGGGAGGGAGAGAGAGAGAGAGAGGCATTTAGGGAGGGAGGGAGAGAGAGAGAGAGAGAGAGAGAGAGGCATTTAGGGAGGGAGGGAGAGAGAGAGAGGCATTTAGGGAGGGAGGGGGAGAGAGAGAGGCATTTAGGGAGGGAGAGAGAGAGGCATTTAGGGAGGGAGAGAGAGAGGCATTTAGGGAGGGAGGGAGAGAGAGAGAGAGAGGCATTTAGGGAGGGAGAGAGAGAGAGAGAGAGCATTTAGGGAGGGAGAGAGAGAGAGAGGCATTTAGGGAGGGAGAGAGAGAGAGAGGCATTTAGGGAGGGAGAGAGAGAGGCATTTAGGGAGGGAGAGAGAGAGAGAGGCATTTAGGGAGGGAGAGAGAGAGGGAGAGGCATTTAGGGAGGGAGAGAGAGAGAGAGAGGCATTTAGGAGAGGGAGGGAGAGAGAGAGAGAGGCATTTAGGGAGGGAGGGAGAGAGAGAGAGAGGCATTTAGGGAGGGAGAGAGAGAGAGAGAGGCATTTAGGGAGGGAGAGAGAGAGAGAGAGGCATTTAGGGAGGGAGAGAGAGAGAGAGAGGGCATTTAGGGAGGGAGAGAGAGAGAGAGAGAGGCATTTAGGGAGGGAGAGAGAGAGAGAGAGAGGCATTTAGGGAGAGGAGAGAGAGAGAGAGAGAGAGCATTTAGGGAGGGAGAGAGAGAGAGAGAGAGGCATTTAGGGAGGGAGAGAGAGAGAGAGAGGCATTTAGGGAGGGAGAGAGAGAGAGAGAGGGCATTTAGGGAGGGAGAGAGAGAGAGAGAGGCATTTAGGGAGGGAGAGAGAGAGAGAGGCATTTAGGGAGGGAGAGAGAGAGAGAGAGGGCATTTAGGGAGGGAGAGAGAGAGAGAGAGAGGCATTTAGGGAGGGAGAGAGAGAGAGAGAGAGAGGCATTTAGGGAGGGAGAGAGAGAGAGAGAGGCATTTAGGGAGGGAGAGAGAGAGAGAGGCATTTAGGGAGGGAGAGAGAGAGAGAGGCATTTAGGGAGGGAGAGAGAGAGAGAGGCATTTAGGGAGGGAGAGAGAGAGAGAGAGGCATTTAGGGAGGGAGAGAGAGAGAGAGAGGGCATTTAGGGAGGGAGGGAGAGAGAGAGAGAGGCATTTAGGGAGGGAGAGAGAGAGAGAGAGAGAGGCATTTAGGGAGGGAGAGAGAGAGAGAGAGAGAGGCATTTAGGGAGGGAGAGAGAGAGAGAGAGGCATTTAGGGAGGGAGAGAGAGAGAGAGAGAGGCATTTAGGGAGGGAGAGAGAGAGAGAGAGAGAGGGCATTTAGGGAGGGAGAGAGAGAGAGAGAGGGCATTTAGGGAGGGAGAGAGAGAGAGAGAGGCATTTAGGGAGGGAGAGAGAGAGAGAGAGGGCATTTAGGGAGGGAGAGAGAGAGAGAGAGGGCATTTAGGGAGGGAGAGAGAGAGAGAGAGGCATTTAGGGAGGGAGAGAGAGAGAGAGAGAGGCATTTAGGGAGGGAGAGAGAGAGAGAGGGCATTTAGGGAGGGAGAGAGAGAGAGAGGCATTTAGGGAGGGAGAGAGAGAGAGAGGCATTTAGGGAGGGAGAGAGAGAGAGAGGCATTTAGGGAGGGAGAGAGAGAGAGAGAGAGAGGCATTTAGGGAGGGAGAGAGAGAGAGAGGCATTTAGGGAGGGAGAGAGAGAGAGAGGCATTTAGGGAGGGAGAGAGAGAGAGAGGCATTTAGGGAGGGAGAGAGAGAGAGAGGCATTTAGGGAGGGAGAGAGAGAGAGAGGCATTTAGGGAGGGAGAGAGAGAGAGAGGCATTTAGGGAGGGAGAGAGAGAGAGAGAGGCATTTAGGGAGGGAGAGAGAGAGAGAGGCATATAGGGAGGGAGAGAGAGAGAGAGGCATTTAGGGAGAGAGAGAGAGAGAGAGAGGGAGAGGCATTTAGGGAGGGAGGGAGAGAGAGAGAGAGAGGCATTTAGGGAGGGAGGGAGAGAGAGAGAGAGAGAGGCATTTAGGGAGGGAGAGAGAGAGAGAGAGAGAGGCATTTAGGGAGGGAGAGAGAGAGAGAGAGGCATTTAGGGAGGGAGAGAGAGAGAGAGAGGCATTTAGGGAGGGAGAGAGAGAGAGAGGGCATTTAGGGAGGCATTTAGGGAGGGAGAGAGAGAGAGGCATTTAGGGAGAGAGAGAGAGAGAGGCAGATAGGGAGGGAGAGAGAGAGAGAGAGGCATTTAGGGAGGGAGAGAGAGAGAGAGAGGCATTTAGGGAGGGAGAGAGAGAGAGAGAGGCATTTAGGGAGGGAGAGAGAGAGAGAGGCATTTAGGGAGGGAGGGAGAGAGAGAGAGAGGCATTTAGGGAGGGAGAGAGAGAGAGAGGCATTTAGGGAGGGAGAGAGAGAGAGAGGCATTTAGGGAGGGAGAGAGAGAGATAGGCATTTAGGGAGGGAGAGAGAGAGAGAGGCATTGAGGGAGGGACGGAGGCTGTGAGGGAGAGAGGCAGTGAGGGAGAGAGGCATCGTGTGAGGCAGGTGGTGAGGGAGAGGCAGTGATGGAGATAGGTGATGATGGAGGGAGGCAGCAAGGGAGGGAGGGAGAGAGGCGGTGAGAGAGGGAGGGAGAGTGGCAGTGAGAGTGGGAGGGAGATTTCAATGAGGAAAATGTTAATTTCAAAATGTCATATGAAGGGCATTTAAGATTTTATCTTGTGCCATGATGGGAAATAATTCCTAGAGTCTGTGAACCGTTCCAACATCCTAAGCAAATTCGCACATCTCCCGTTTTGGCAAAATGGTTCGTCGAATAGGATGAGTAAATACGGCCTGAAAAGTGTGCGTCCTAACTGGAGATTCGCAGTTTTGTGCTTGTTGTCGTTTGAGATATATAAGGTTAACCTTAGCATTGCACACCTGTTTTTGGCAAAAATTTCACGGTGCAGTTTTTAACTAATAAGGACATTTTTTTTCAGCTACTGTATTGTTAATGTCAAAATGTTTCCAAACTCAATCATTTTCATTTCAAATCACAGAGTGATGAAAACATTAAAAACGTTAAAATAAGGCCTAATTAAAAAAAATTGCACAACCCTCGGAGCGCTTTAACCCCTGCACTGCGCATCTGTTTTTGGTAAAAACGTCATAGTGCAATTGTTAGTAACATATTTTTGTTGTTTTTATAAATGTTTAGGTAAAGTTAACGTCAAAATGTTTCCAAACTCAACTATTTTCATTTCAAAACATATAGAGTGATGAAAACATTAAAAAAACATTAAAATATAGCCTAATTAAAAAAAAACGGACAACTCTCAAAACTACATTTGTTGGCTGGCGCAGTTGAGGGGTTAAGGCATTCTGCACAGTTAAGTGGTTAATTGTGTGAAGAACTATGTCCTCTCTTCCAATCATAGGTATGATCTCTTGACCTCTTCGTAGGTTTGAATCTTTTTACTAGTCTGCTTTTTTTTTTTTTAGTTCTGTACTTTGCTAATTTTTTTTGCTGTTCTACTGTGAGGTCTGGGGAGATGTAAGCTCATACCCTCCTAGATCTTTTAATTTATATGCACTGTTGAGTATTCTCATTTGTTCAAAATTTGCAACAGTTATCCATACCAGGTATACCAGAGTAGCCTCAGGATTACCTAACCACCTTACTGGAAAATGATTAGATCCTTCTTACCTATCAGTTTTTCTATCATTGCCTCAATGATTTCTTGGTCATTCTTACCCTCTTCTTGCAAGGTTCCTTACAATGAGGTCTAAATCCATAACCACATGTTAGGGGTTAAAACCATTAGGGTTAAATAAATAAAATGCATATACAGTACAGTACTATGTGGTATATGTATCAGAGTATATATTGATGATTATGTTGCAGGCAGACAGTGGCACTGAATGGGTGGTGGAGGCTCAAGATCCAGAGGACATGAAAACATGGCTCACCACCATTGTTGCTCATTGTTGCTCCACAGATAAAGAACAGTAAGTGTATCATAATCTCTTAATTTTCAGACACACACACACATGCAGTGGTTGTATAGTGCCCATATCTTATGAAGCACATCAACAAACTAGAAAAGGCGTAAAGACGTGCAATCAAATGGCTCCCAGGACTGAAAGACAAGAGCTACGAGGAGAGGTTGGAGGCATTTAAAATGCCAAAACTAGAAGATAGAAGAAATAGAAGCGATATGATCACTACGTACAAAATAGTAATGGGAATTGACAAAATTGATACAGAAGAATTCCTGAGACCTGGAACTTTAAGAACGAGAGGACACAGACTGAAGCTAAGGAAACAAAGGTACTGCAAAAACATTAGAAAATTTTCATATGCAAACTGAGTGGTAGACGGTTGGAACAAGCTAAGTGAGGTGGTGGTGGAGGCCAAAATCGTCAGTAATGTCAAAGCATTGTATGACAAAGAGTGAGAAGACGGGACACCATGAGCATAGCTCTCATCTTGTAACTACACTTAGGTAATTACACCCCCCCCCCTAATTCACCCATGTTATGGGGCTTGGTAGCTGAGTGGACTGCACCCGGGATTCATAATCCTAGGGACCGGGAATTGATCTCGGGTGATTGCCGGCTTCCGCTTTGGGTTTTCAGGGTTCGGTGCCAGGGCGCCTCCCCGAGCCCTCACTCATTGTGTTCCAGACACCTCGTTTCTCGGCTGGGTTTTTGTGACCCATGCTCACTAGGCCGGCCTGGGGCGGTTGGTTCCATTCTTCCATAGGGTACACAGCGCAGTGCAGAAGTTTGCGTTGGTCTGGCCTTTGCCGCGGGGGGTTCGGGTTGCTCGGGGCTCTACGGTCAGGCTCCCGTCGGTCCTTGGCTCTTTGGGACTGGTCTCTTCGAGCAACTCGTCTGCTGGTTTCTCGGTGTTTAGCTCTCTGTACAGCTCACATCTGGGGGTGTGTCCAACGTCCTTGCGGAAGGCTTATCATAGTTTCTTTCCCTGTCCACGGAATGGACGATCATTGTCGACTTCTTCAGTTGGCTCTGATGGTCGCATGGGCCCCTGGAAGTGGAACTCTTCACGTCAGCTTGGTTCCTGAGTTTCCCCGAGTTATGAGCCGGTCTTCCGACTGCGGGGCCATTGCGTTGGACGCTCTTCGTCAGGACTGGTCAAGGTGGGGTTCCCTGTACCTCTTTCCTCCGGTCTAGCTGTTGCCTTGGGTTCCGACTTGGTTGTAGTCTTCTGGAAAAGTTGTCCTTGTAGCACCGTGGTGGCCAGCCCAGTATTTGTTTCAGGCGTTGCTTGCTCGGTGTCTGAACCCAGGGCGTTTTCTGCGGCTCCGCATCTTCTAGCAGATCGGGCCAGGCCAGTACGGGGCTGGTCCGGTCTCCTCCGCTCGTCGCGGGTGGTCTTTTTGATGTGGGTATATCACCACTTGTATGGTGATCAGGTCGCTTTTCTCATGGTGTCCCACCTGCGATCTTCGTCTCGGCGACAGTATTAGGTGTCTTGGCAGTCTTTTTGCCATTTCCTCTCTCTTTGTAGTTTACTTCCATTTCTGTTCGGGTTGTTTTGCCCTTTCTTTATTGGCTCTTTCAGGACCATCTTATGCTGAATACTGTCGCTTCGTATCATGCGGCGCTGGTGGAGCTGCTCCAGCTTGCGTTCTGTAAGCTTTCTCGTGCTTTGTTTCACCCTTTGGCCTGCTCATGCACTGCCTGAGCCACTCCTTGGACAGGATGCTCCCACTCTTTTTCTCTCTTCTCCTTGGTTTATGGTGGCCCCGTTGGTTTGAGATTGCTTCCAGAAAGCTCTGTTTCTGTTGGCTTTGGCCTCTGGGGGTTGGGTTGGTGAGCTGCATGCTCTCCTCGTGCACAAAGGTTTCTGCTGTTTTGGTCCTGGTGAATGTTTTGTTTGGTTGCAACTGTCTCCTTTACTGGCGAAGAATGAGACAGCTGGCTTCCGGTCTGTGGTTATTGATACTAGGTTGGTCAGGCCAGGGGTGCATCATGTGTTGTGCCCGGTTGTGACTCTGTGCTGTTACCTGTATACCTCGGCCTCTGAGGCCGTGGACAAGCTTTGGGTCGATCCGATTTCTTTTCCCTGTTTCAGGGCTCGGGTCTCTCAGGTCGTCCACAGGATTATTAAGTCTTGCCAGTCTGGGGTTTACTCGCGTACTCATGACATTCGTAAGTACAGTATGCTGCTTTGACTGCCATGTCTGGCAACGTGTCCTGGGCTGACATTTGGGCAGGGGGGGAGGGGGGGTTTGGAGGTCGAATAGGGTCCTGGCTGCTCGTTATTTGGTAAATGTTCCTGGTCCCAATCGTTCGTGAGTGACCTTGGGTCGCAGGTTGCAGCCAGTTGTCTCGTCCTAGAGTTGATCCTTGCGGTGCGGCTGCCTCCCGGGTAAGTCCCTCTTTTTACTTATCTATGGTTATGTTGTTCCAAGGAGCTGAAGGGGCTCCCCACAGAAAACTAGCGCTGAATGTAATGTGAATGTACCAGCGTGTGGGTCCGGGGCTCCCCCCCCTCCCTTTCCCGGGGAGGGGAGGGCTGCGCGAACAAGGTGTGTGGTGGCGGTGAATGACAATTGCTTGTTTGCTGGTTTCCTTTGTTTTCTTTTGGGATGTTCTATTTCTCTGTTCTGTCTTGGGTTTATACAATTTCTACCATGTTGGGTTTGTTTTAAGATGCCTACCGTTCTGGGTACCTAACTCCGGTCAATAGCAGACAAGGAATACCCCCAGATACAAGGGGGTCTTCTTAAGCCATTGCTCCCTGTGCCTCTCTGAGGGGGCCAGGTTCCGGCTCTAGTCCCTGGTAGGCATGACCCCATTGACAGAAGCCCCAATCTAATATAGCGTATATCAGTCCTATAGCTCCAGGGAGCCTCAGGAGCTCACCACAGAAAATAGCATTTCATTACTGTTACGACCCTGGGTTCTTTAGTGGAAACCAGAGGTCAAAATTGAGTTATTAAACTTAACTATAGTATAGCTGAACGCAACCCTAGGCGTCATTGTCTGTATCTTCCCTGCCAGACATAAGACTATTATTGTTTCTCAAAGAGCATTTAAAGACTGAGCTGGGGGTTGATTATTAAATAATAACATAGGCACCAACTTTGCTTACTAATACTTTCTAATCACTTGTGAAGTAACAATACGTTGCATAGGGGAAGATCTTTAATGTGCTTAGCTGCACGTTCAATTAGGCTCCTTCTGGCACCACGACATGCGGGAGGCCTAGCTGGTCGCTAGGAGCGTTCTTCTCTGGCTGGCGTTCGTGGGGACGAGACCTACTCTGTGGCTGCACCCCTCCCTTCTCTTACTTATTTCCCTTATCTTAAGTTCCTGTACCATTAAGTTAAGTATGGTGTTTTAAGTGTGCCTACTCTGGTAGTAACGATTGGTGAGACCTGGGGGTAGTATTTGCCAGTGTTTTGGGTACCCCTAAGTGTTGTGTTTTGTATTAGGGTACCACGTGGTCTCACTACCCTAAGCTGCATCCAGCTTCAGTGCTTATCCAGTAGTACTTTACCCTAGCTTGTTCTCAGTGTAAACCTTGTATCCTGTCTATGTGGACCAAGGCTTTTAACGTAAGGTAGTGTGGTAAAGTTATTATTATTATTGTTATTGGTGTGAATGTATATGGGGGGTTGTTAAGGGGTAAATAAACAAGTACATGAATTATAGGAGTATCCCTTCTTCCTGTGTGGGAGTGCATTGATCAACCCTTAGACTGACATATATGGTCTAGTAGCAAGGTATTATTACTGTGGATAGTTTATTTTGGGGGCCGGGCCTTTTAGCTCTCCCATATTTGATACTCTGTCTTCTAACTACCCTTACCCCTTAATAATACCAAGTCCCCCATAGAAGCCCACCACACATTTATATTTATAACAATTACATTTAATGCTTTTTTTTTGGGGGGGGGGGGGGGGAGGATACTAGCAGAGTTGCACCTTTCATGATGGCTGCACACCAAGGGTTAATGATGACTTAAATATATCGTTGTGGTAAATTGCTTCCAGTCCATCATGTGTTCCATTTCTGTTATGTAGTGGTCAGTGAAGTCGATTCACTGCTGGAAGGCCACAGACTTGATTCCTAAGTAGAATTTAAATGCTTGGACACATTTCCTTAAGCCTGATTCATTTGTTCACCTAGCAGTAAATAGGTATATGATTTAAAGAATTATTGTATGTAGGTTGTTTCCAGGGAAAGGTTAGTTGATCGTTGGCCTATGAAGACTTTAATAGGCCTAACATGCTCTCTGTCCCCTGATATTGAGAAACAATTAAGATTCCATTGTACTGCACATGTACATCTTAAAGTTCATATTTACACATTATTTTTTGAATTCTCAAATAGCATTTTTATAATAATTTTCATTAAAAGCATGTTCAAAATTTTCAGGTGTAAAAATTATGAGCTTCGACCAGCAATGTACAGTGTGAAGAATGAATCGTCTCAGTCCCTGACTGGGACTATGGGTAGTGGTGAGCTAGTGGAGCGCCCTGAGCACCCACCAGACCTTCCCCCACGAGTCCCTGGTACTACCTCCCCTAGCTCACAACAGGTCAGAACAATATATATACAAGAGTTCTTACATTCTTGTACAAAATTAACAAATTTAAATTAACTTCATTAACAAATTAACAACAGTCTTAGTACAGATATTGTTTATAAATAAAACAAGAGATGATATAGATATATTATTTGTTATTTGTGGGTTTATGGTAGCACTCATTTCTTTTTATTTTATGTGACATGAGAAAGTTTTAAGGCGTGTTGAAATATTGTATAATGTATAGTATAAATTCATATATTTTATTCGACATTGGAAAGCAACAGGTATTTGCCTTATAAGGACATGTATCTGACTGTCATTGTCCCTGGCAGCTAATGCCTTCTTCCTTCTGTTCTGTCAATTGATCTCTCAAAAGCTTGTTTTAGGTCCAGATAAATACACTCAACTCAACCATCTCTTTCCTGTAAAATCTCTGTAGCTCTAACATAGAAACTAAGTACGGTTTCACAATTTCTTTGTGTTCAAAAACTGTACTGTCTATCATCACGTCATTTCTCTCCAGGTGTTGTGTTTATTTACTTTTAATGATTTTTTCAGCATTTTAACTACCACACTTGTTAACGATACAGGTACATAATTAAGAGTCTTCCATGCTATCATTGTTGTAGATTGCAACTACGTTTGCCTTTTTCCGTATATCTCCTAAAACTATTGTACACAATGGTTAGTCTGTTGATATGATATTGTCAGCTTAGCTACACATTCTTTCAAAACCCCAGGTGAAACCATCTGGGCAAACTGCTTTGTTTTTCTTACTCGCTCCTTGGGGTTCTTTCCACTTTGCCTTGAGACTTCTCTATGTTCTGACAAGTTATTCTCTGAGATTCCTGCTGCTGACTCTCTGAAGACTTCATTCTGTGCAAACACACTGTGGACCTGTTCATTTAGTGTTTCACACATTTCCTTTTCGCTCTCTGGGAATCTGCTCCCCATTTTCAACCTTTGGACTGTATCCTTTACATGGAATTTGCTTTTAATGAATTTATAGAAAAGGCCTGGTTCTGTTTTACAGTTGTCTGCAATCTTTTTCTCATAGTATTCTGACCCTTTTCTCACTGCTGTTTGCTTGTATATATTGTTGGTATGTTTCAGGGTTAGGCCTCTTCCTGTATTGAGTCCATTTTTTTGTCATTTGTTCTCTGGCTATCTTACAATTTCTGTTGAACCAGTCTTGCTTTTCTAGTTCTGCTACTGTCTTTGGATAACTTTTGTTTTACCTTCATCATACATAAAAAAAAATTTAGCATCTATTTTGTTTATATCTTCGCCAAACAACAAATATTTCTAATCAAATTCATTAAAGAACTTGTTAAGTTCCCCATATTGCCCTCAATTGAAATCAACTTTTCAGTTTCCCCATTCTCTTCTAGATTATAATGCATTGCATATTTAATTTCTAAAAGGATATGTTTGTTTTTACCCATGGGGAGGAAGATATTGAATATCAAATATCTGTTCTTTCCTGATGAACATCAAATACAGCATTGATGGAACAGTTTTTCCCACATCCTCATGGCCTGCTTAATATGTTAGAATATGAATGTTACCAGAATATGGTTTATTAATCTGCATGTCAAAATGTCCTATGTTCTTACTTCATAGACCTCCCAGTCTGTTGATTTAACCCTCAAACCGCTAGGGGCCCAAATGGAATTCACACCCACAGGCGCAACAAAAAAAGAAAATCCAAAAAATTCTTTCGTCTTATAGAAGTGTTCATTTTTGTTCCCTGATCACGGAAAAAATAACAAAAAAATCGTAGGTGGCATATTTTAGCCGCAATAGGGTAGGAAAGTGTGGCAAAAAAGGGGCGTTGGCAGAGCCTTCGCCAGACGAGGTCTACTCCGCCCGAGCTGTCAGACGGCAGTTGCCACAAATATATTATTACCTAATTATTTCAATGTCTCTGATTGATTTTTTCTTAGTTTTTTTGCAGTAATATTATTCCATACAGTGAATTGTGGTATATTTATATTATAAAATGTGTGAACCATCGCTGTACTGTACTCAAAATTATGGTGTGCATATTAGTGATTCAATTATGTTCATAAAACAATAAACAAATAGTTTTGCTGTTGTTACACTATATACACAGGTTATATATAAGTATTTGCATATTTTGTACACCATAACGAACTACTAAGTTGGTCTCGAGTCAAAAAGCAACGAGGAGTGACCGCCAAACACCAGCGAGCCACTCACTGCCACTCCCTCCCTCAACACCACCTCACTCACCCTCATTCACCTCCCACAATACTCTTTCTGTATTTATTCACTATACACAGACGTTATATATACGTATTTACATGTTTTGTTCACCATAACTGTACATCTAAGCTTGTATGGTGAGTAAAGGCCATAAGACATAGCTACTCACACAGTCAGCTGATCGGCGGCCGCCCTCAAGGCCAGACGCACTAATATTTGTCCTCCAACAATATTGTTTGTGGTGTTATTACGCTATATACACACATTATATATAAGTATCTACCTGTTTTATGCACCATACCTGTACAAATAAGCTGGTATGGTGCCCAAAGACCGTAGTGGCCATCAGTAAACAACATGCCAAGTCGTGCAGACGACTCTCCTCCCTCACCAAAATGGCGGCTCCCAACCTACTCCTCTCGCTGTTATCTCACACTATACAGACGTTATATATAAGTATCTACATTTGTGTTCACCATATCGAACCACTAAGCTGGTATGGTGAGTGCAGTCAATAAATGGTGGCCACACACAGTCAGAAAACGACGCCACAACCCTCCCTCCCACAGCCTTACTCCTCCCTCCATGGAGCACAGCGCTAAATATCACCACAATCCTGCTATTATCAGAATCCTGGTCAGTTTTATCACAGTCAGGGGGCTTCAGTAATACTATCACTGCTAAATAATAGCAGTATCATTTATATTATGGTATTTGTAGGCGATGCTGTGGTCACAAGCTGAACAGCGGTGCTGTGAGCTAGTGCTGCATGCGCCAGCCTTGGTGGCTTGCTCAATACTGACGCTGTAACACCCAAGAATGTTGGCCTGGATTTTTTTTCTAGGTGGCATCTGGCAACTATCGGTCGTGGCTGTACTATAGCTGCCCCTATCCCAGGCGGGGCGTTTAAATTATAGCGCTAGACACGAAATCATATATAAATGATGTGTGCGGTTTCGGTTTTGTCACTGATATCATTTATATATGATATGCGTGGTTTGAGGGTTAAAGTTGAAGTCACTAAGTACCAACAATTGCAATTTATCTTTACCTGCTCTTATTATAATGTCTCATTATCATTATGAGGCCTTCCCATTTGTTGTAAACTCCTCCTCTGTCCATATATTGCTTGTATATGGGCTGTAGGCATTTATTATATCAGTTTATTATCCTGATTACAAATTTCCAGTACAATTATCTCTACTTCTTGTGGGATGTTTACTATTAATTAACCTTCAGGTGTTCTTTCACCAGTACAGCAACTCCTCCACTTTTTCTGATTTTTCTATCCTGTCTCCAAATCGAATAGAAACAGGTAACAGTTAGTGGGCCAACCAGAGGCTTAGGGCCCATGCAGGAATATCCATGCAAAAAAAACAACAAAAAAAAAAAACAACTTAAATGACAATTCTTATTTTTCCATATTTACCTATTCTAAAATCACTGATATGTTCCTTTATTTTGAGGCCTTCTCCTGCACCTACTACAATATTTTTAAATGATTTTTCTGTGGGGAGCCCCTCTGGCTCCCTGGAGCTATCTGTCTGATATACTGGTATTCTATATTAGTTGGGGGCATCAGTCAATGGAGTTCATCCTACCGGGGACCACGCAACAGAACTTGGCCCCTCTCAGAGAGGCACAGAAAGCAATGGCCTAAGAAAACCCTCATGTGTTTGGGAGCATTCCATGTCTTCCATCGGCTGGGAATAGGCACCCAGAAAGGTAGGCATAACGAAACAGACCCCACTTGGTAAGAAATTGCAACCAAAAACTGAACAGAGACAGAATTCTCCAAAACTTGAAAAAAACAAACAAACAAGTAAATGTCATACACCGCCGCTGCGCCTCTTGTCCGTGCAGCCCTCCCCGTCCCGGGAGGGAGAGGAAAAGCTCTGGACCCCCATCCCCGTGCTGGCTACTCACACCTTCAGTTCGTAGGCCGATGTGCTCTGGGGCAGTTGTCAACTCTGGTCTTGATTTCTTGGCAAATTTTGTGCCTTCGTGGTGTTTCCTGCTCCTTGTGGTGCGTTGGCCAGGTGTAACTTCAGTGTACTGAGGCTGCATGTGCTTAGGTCTACTTTCTCTAGGCTAGGCTAGGGTAGTAAGTACTACCCTTGGGTTCTCTAGGGTTACCTTCCATAGAGCCTTCAGGATTCCACTCCCGTAGGGGTTTTTGCTGCACGGCATTTACCCTGCTCTTAGGGCCAGCTGGGGTTTTGTGGCCTTTTTTTTGGCCTTGGGTAGGAAGTGGTGTTGTTGCTGGTTGGGGTGCAACCAGCGAAAAAAATGCAGTCCCTCCCCTTCCCCTCCCAGGAAGAGGAGTGCTGCGTTTACCAGTAGCACGGCAGCGGTGTATGACTTTTGCTTGTTTGCTTGTTTCTTTAAGTTTTGTAGAGTTCTGCCGCTGTTCGGTCTTCAGTTGCAATTTCTTACCATGTGGGGTCTGTTTCGTTATGCCTACCTTTCCGGGTGCCTAACTCCGGTTGATAACAGACGTAGAAGCTCTCAAACACATGGGAGTTTCCATAGGCCATTGCTCCCTGTGTCTTTCTGAGTGGGCCAGGTTCTGGTTCGTGGTCACAGGTAGGCTGGAGTTCATTAACTGATGCCCCAGACTAATATAGCGTATATCAGTCTGGGACTCGCACAGAAAAGGGGCATTTCATTACAATCAGTGCTGGGTTTTTTCCTCCTCTTTTGATCTATCATAGATGGCATTTTATTTTTAAAACGGCTAAAAATTATTACTGTATTGACTTCAAACTACAGTGTTTTGTACTAATTTACTGCTGGTAACAATTTCTTTCCAGATTTCTTGCCTAATGTCTGATTCTTGCTGCTCATTTCTGATTTTGACTTCCAAACATGCTTCATTGTTTCTTTCTTTCGCTTTTATAACTTGTGCAGATTTTTTCATTTTCTCTTTTTACTTTTCCAATCCTATGGTAACTGTCTCTACTTGAGTTGACCATGAAGTCTCTCTTAGGATATCATAACCTAACTCCCTATTTTGGCTAGCTTGTAGTATTGCTGTGTGTTCCTCACCATATATATCTATTTTCCTATTAATTTTTTAAAATTGGCCCTCCTTTAATTTCTTTACCTACTTTTTTTCACTAGTTCCTTGATTTGTACCTCTTCACTTTGTCAGTCACTCTAGTAATTTCTTCCTGCTGTGAAATACTTCTTTCAAATATAAAAAGTTTCCTTCATAAATCTTTATCCCATCCTGACATCACTAACCTGCCAAGGAAACTTCCTTTGTCTATTTCCAGCTTAGTGTAGCCCTTGAAAATTTAATATTTTTTTGACACATTAGTGGACACCGGTGAACCCAGTGCATCGATTTTTTTTGTCTGCTTATGTTCAGACAGCACTTTGGCCTACGTTCATATCCTAGTCGGGGAGGATTGACTGTGGGATAGCTTAGAACATAACAGTACACTCTCAGTTTTCCAAATACAATAGACACAGTTGAATGTTACACAAGATAAAATCCAAGGAGATATTTCCTTGCACGTATTATTAGATATCGAAAGGTTTTAGTTCTAATCCTACAAAATTTAGTAGAGCCCAATCGTAGTTTGTACAAATACTGTGCTCTTTAAATTATCAAAGCAGAGTACTGTATTTTTTTTTTTTTTTTCAGGCCTCTATTATTGCTGCAAGACAAAGCAATCTTTCAATGCATTCTAGATCTCAAAATGGGCTTGGAGATTATTCTAGTGATGATGCTGGTAAGTACTATTCAACTTTAATAAGATGTGTAAATTAGTACTGTATTATTGAAGATTAACCGTTATCCTAAAAGTGTATAAAATACATAGCACATGTATTAGAAGTAGTTGCTGGAATGCAGTTGCAAAAAAACCAGCGTTGAACGCAATGAAATGCCATTTTCTGGGTTGAGCCCCGGAGGCTCCCTGAAGCTAACATATATCAGATGGCATTGAGACCAAACCGATGCAAAGAGGTCCATGTCCGGGTGCCTGAACATCCGGCAAAGCCAACTGAAGGAGTCGGTGTCAACTGTCCACTCCGTGGACAGAGGAATGAAGTGAGACAGGAAGTCTGCCAGGACATTTGGCACCCCTTGGATGTAAACCACATGGAGAGCTAAACCCTGAGAACTCTGCATAAGAGCCACTCGAAGCAACCAGCCCCCAAGAGCTGCAGACTGAAGAGAACCCTTCCGGTTCAGACAGTGAACCACAGTGGAGCAGTCCGAATGGAACTGGATCACAGAACCCTGAGGGACCTGAATCTGCCACAGTGAGAGCCACACCGCCATGAACTCCCGCACCAGGTACCAACCATACTGTGAGCCCAGCGGAACGATGGACCCTAACGACCCTGACCTGCCTGGTGAACACTGGTCACAAAACCCCAGCCGAGGGATGAGGCAATGGTGAATACATCGAGCAAGGGAACAGGTAGACACCATGACACTGAACCTCGAAAAACCTGAAGAGGAAGCCAGAGACACAGCAACCAACGCAAGGCGCCAGGTGGACGAACCCAGCGATCGCGAGAGTGGCAGAAGGGACTACTCCGAAGAAACCAGAACAGCCGCCAAAGCTAAACCTGACCCAGCGGAAAAACTAGCAAGGCGATGTTCAGATTCCCGCTCAGCTGCTTGAGCTACCAACGAGTGACCCGGGACCCCCCCCTCCCCCCAAGAACAACCGAAGGCGGGACCCAAAGCTGAGCAACGCCACAGGAGGGAGGGACACGGAAGTCATCTGAGAATCCCTGACCAGGCCCAGCCAGGTCCGAACCAGGGTCGAAACCAAGTGGGACTTCCTCCAGTTCACCAGGATCCCGAACCCAGCGAGCTGGGAAAGAACCAAATCCCTGGCGAGCAGACTAGCAAGACTGTCTGGGAGCCTGAACCAACCAGTCATCGAGGTAGTTGTTGTTGTTGTTAAAGATTTGCTACTTGGAACAGGAACACGACCAGAACACCTAACAGATGAAGACAAGTCACCAAGACTCGGGTAAGATGCATGAAAACACGAGTAAGACAATGCCCAAACGCACCCACTCCAAGATGACCCGACAAAGTAACGGGAGGAGGCCTACCCCACCAGCCTCGAACCCCGAGGAGGAGGAGGAGCTGCCCAACACCACCAAAAGGTGGATGACACTATCTGAAAAGTCCAAGAATCGTGGGACCAGTCGTGGGCAAACAAGGCATCCCCCCCCTCGTCCCGTCAACAGGGCGATTCGCAAAAGGGCCCACACAACCCCTGAGAAGCAGACCTTTGTGCAGAGCCAGCACTGCATTGACCAGACAAAGAAGGCCCCCCGGAGGAAACACCAGCGCAGAATCCGGCATCAATGGCCCACCTCGAGCTACTGAACCCTCGAGCCACACGATTCCTTCCAGTTCTACTACGTTCCAAGCCATGTTTGGTCATGCTACATGGACTAAGTACTTTGATCTCAACCATGTGGATTCTACACATCCTGACGATTTCTTCCTCCATAAACACCGTTGATTCAGTGGATACCTTTGTTACTTTTAACAACTTTTTAACTGGTACATGTGTCATTGCTGCTTCTTCTCGGGAAGTGGCTGCCCGCTTAGTCTTGTTGTCCAGCATTGGGGAGACCCCTGTACGGATCTCCAAAAATGCCCGGTTAAATGCCAGCATTGGCACAGTTATTCTCCCGCACCATGTTGTGACTGGTGTTAGGGACCTGAAAGACTGCCACAAGGATATTCAACATATCCTTGAAGCCCAAGGCCATTCTATCCTCCAGGTTGACACATTTAATCGACCCCCTCGTGATTGTCGTTGTCTGCCTCTTCGAGTTGTGAAGATCACTTTTGATAGTAGATCCCTTCTGCCTTCTGTAATTCTTGCTGGTGCCAGATGCTCCATTCCAATGCACCAATGCCAGGGGAAAAGGCAATCCAGTGCCTTAGAGATGAAGGTAGCCAAGAGACTAGCAGAGGCATTAGGCTGATAGATGATGGTTTGGCAATTTTGGAAGAGCAAGACGATGATGCTGAAAGATATTAAAATGCCTCAAAAATAATATTTAATGGCCTTGCACCTTACAAGCAAATTTATCTGGAAGAGAAGAGAGTTGTGCAAAGTACTTTGAGAAAATATTTTCCGACAAAGTCTTCACCCCAGCAATCGCCTCTCAAAACGTCAGTCAGTTGCCTCAACAATCTGTAAGAAAAAGTCTGACCCCAAAATGATCAACTTCTACAGCAGCTAGTGACATTGATGATGACCCACAGGTGCTTGCCACCAACCCATCATCTACATCAAACGTAACCAGTGACACTGAAAATGACTAGCAATGGTGCTCTGAGAATTTCTGCTCTGTCCTCTGTACCGTTGTGTTGGCATATAGTTTCAGTACCGAGTTCCGACTTCTTTTCTTGGGGGAGCCCTTTGTAGCTCCCCGAAGCTACTATGCTGATATATAGTACTGTAGTGACAAAATACTAGGTGCCATTAGTTGTGATGTTCTTTTTGGCCTACTGGGGACCATGAGCCAGAATGTCCCCCCCCCCCCCTTCTAGAGAGGCACATACAGCAGTGGCATATATGATAAAATTTTTATTATGAATTTATTCATGTCTGCTGCCGAGCAGAAAGTCAGTGAGACAAAACAAACCACTGCTGGTTAGGAACTAGACTTCAGCCTCCAAACTACCAAAAGAACTTTCTCAACAACGTAATCAATCAAAAATTCACTAAACTAACATGAGGTCATTTGCCCCACCTCCCCTCCATTGTTTTGAGGGAGGAGGGAGGCAGCCCAGGGCAGCCGGGTGCTCCACCCTCAGTTCTTTGCTGATGGTAGAAGTGTTTGGTGCCCTCTCTGCCACTCTGACTCCAATGTCCTGTGTTTCAGCTAAGTGGGGTTTTGCCTTAGTGGCTGTTCCTGTGCACTTTGGTGCAGTGTGAGCCAGGAGTTAAGAGCAGTTGGGGCTGCAAATGCTCAGGGCCCTCTTCCCTGGGTGCTCCTTTAGTACTGCTCTTACACTGCCAGGGCTTCCCTGGAGTTTTGGGGGATTGCCCTATTTAGGGGGTCCTCCTCTCTTGTGGTGGACCTCACCCAGAAGTGAGTCAGTGGTCTTTGACTTGTCTTTTCTTGGGATGGGTCCAGTTTTGGATGGCAGGAAGCACTGTTGTTTGCATAACCTTACCGGCATGCCAAGGTTGGCCTTCGCAGACTTGTGGTGTTGTGTTGGAATACTTTTCTCTCCTTCCCACTCATATTCTCCTCCTTGCTCCTGAGAGTTTCCTTTATCTTCTGTTTTTTTCTTTTTCATTATTTACCTAAATTTGCCCGAGATCCACTAACAGTAGTGGCCTCGATGAGGACAGGAAGCTGGCGGCTTGTTGAAGGTCCTTGATGATCTTTTCCAGTTGTACTTTAAAAGTTAAGAGTTTTGGCAATTACGTTTTGTTGGTGGGTAGGCAGTTCCATGGGTTTATAACCCGGTGGGTGAAAAAGCATCCCCTGTTCTCAGTCCTACATTGTGGCTTGTTGAGCTTGAAACCGTTGCTCCTTGTTTGTGTTACATCTGACCTTTTGAAGAAATTTTCCAGATGAACATCCTCCAAACTGTTCAATTTTTAAAAAGTTTCAGTGAAAACTGTCTTGTCATGCCTGGTTTTCAGTGTTGTTAATCCTGTGGCCCACAACTGTTCCTGATGCATGAGTTAGCTCTGGAACGATTTTTGTTGCCTGGTGTTGCACTTTCTCCAGAGCAGCTATGTCCTTCTGAAGATGAGGTCTCCATGCTTGGATACAGTAATCCAAATGGGGGCACACCAGAGATTTATACAATTGAATCATTACCTTCTTTTCCTTAGGCAAAGGTATGCTTAATTATTCCAAGGGTTTGGTTAGCTTTTTTGACTGCTGCCCCCAACCTGCTGTGGAACTTTCATCGAGTGGTGGATTTTGACTTCAAGTCCTTTTCTTCATCAATGTTATGTTACTGTCATTGGACAATTATTCCTGAGTAAGGTGAAAATCGATACTTTTCATTTGACACTTAGATTTGTATCTAGTGTCTTGGTTTCTGTTTTTCTCTTTTTTTTCTCTCTTGCCCATTCCAGTGCCTGCAAATATCAGGAAAGTCTATTCTTACAGTGTGACTGGTGTAGCATTACCAGTCCTGGGCATACCCGCAGGACAATTTCCCATGGTCCCTGGAAAACCCCCCCTGCAGGTTCAGTGGTCCTAGTGGTATTCCCACTGTCTCCATTCTCGCTTTGAGTGAGTTTGAGGTTGTGCATCGTCTGTGCCAAAATCGGCTCAATGATGCACTATGCTGGTTTGAATTTCTCCTCGGCTTTTCACGTCTGGTCTTTCTGATGCATCTTTATTGGCATCTCTTTGGCAAGCGGGTGTCTGAACTGATGGTGTCCCACTTGCGTTTGTCTTCTCGGCAGCAGAATGCAGCAGTGCATGTAATGAAACTTCTTTTTCTGGTTGAGCCCATGTGGGTCCCTGACTGACGCCCTTTCTTCTAGGTTTTTCGGTTTGTGATTGTGAGTTTTTTCATCTGTTCCGGAACTAACTTGAGAGGGTTGCTGGGAGCTGGGGCTTTGGGCCCACTGGTGGCAGTGGGTTTATACTAACAGGATTGAGCTAGTTTTGAGAGATTTGATTGTTTTCATTATTAAGGGAGTTGTTTGGCAGTTTTCGAGGCTTCGGGTCTTGTGAACTTAGCATTGATCTGCAATGCTTTAACTTTCTGAATACTTTCTTGGTAGGTTGTTGGAATGTCACTCGCTCTCTGCACCTTGGTGAGGAAGTGGCCAGGTTCTGGCTTTGGTCCCCATTAGGCCCTGTAATGACTGGTATATAAAGTTTAGCTTTTGTGGTTGTTAATGTAAATGTTTCTTTTAGTTAAAATACCAGTTTGTTTTATGTGTGTTAATTTTTATATTTCATTTGTGTTTGAGAGTATGTATTAGTAAATGAGTATGATTCTGTGTGTAAAGCTTTCCCGCGCATTTTTGTGAGAGGATCATCCTTGCACTCCATGAGACATAGGGGGCTGAGACTCCACACATACAGGTTGTGGGGTGTGTGCTCGTGAGGTACTCGCCTCACTGTGTGAGGTTATTGACCTCCATTTATATCTCGGTTCAGTATCTGGAACTGTAATCATTAATCGGGTGAGTGAGAAATTATTCCTTGTTAGTGTGTTATCCCTTTTTTAGTGTTTAAATAAATGTAATGCATGCATTTTGAATGTTTCTTGAGTCCCATACAAAAATATGGTACTGGCTCCATGTGGTCACTATGGTGTTTGAAGTGTTTATAAATGCGTATTGGTTCCACTTCCCTGGTTTAAAGTAACATTCTTATACTGTACATAAGAAAATAGGAACGGGTTTTGTTAATTCGTACTCTAGGGTATGGCTTACCTGTTCGTGCCCAACAAAACTTCACGACTGATGGAACTTATTAGATGGAAGCAATCTCAGCGAGATAGCTTCAGAGCCACTGGGGCTCAACCAGAAAGAGGGTTTTCAATACATTCAACATAAGGTTTTCTCAGTTATGGTGTTCATGAATTCCTGCTATCTGTTCCTCTGTGAAGTAGGGACCAGATTTTGGCTTTTGGGCCCTGGTAGGCTTTTGATGATTCACAAGGGGCTGGTGTTACCAGAGATGTGTGGAGCTAACCAGGCAGCTAGCAACAGGAAGCCACCTTGGAACTTTCCCAGAAAATTGCCTTGGATGTAAATTAAAAATTTCCTCGATGTAATCCTAGCCATTTTGTTCTCTAGGAGTAAAACATTGACATGGAATGAAACATAATTCTAAAATAACCTAAAATAAATTCATGTTGTTAAGGGGGCGTCTGAGGACTATAGATGAAAGTTGTTCAATGACAACCAATATTAATTTTCTAGTTGTATATGAAAAGTGCTGAAATTGTCCCAAGTTTCAGTACTGCAGCGTAAATAGAAAGGGAGTTTTTTTTTTTTTTTTTCCCAACGTTTTTTACACATTTTCAAGTCCACACTTCAGAACACACGTTTCAGATATAATTATTCTGTGACACTTTGCTGACACATTAGCATATAATAAAGGATTTATTTATAGCTTTAGAATTTCCGAAACATCTTTAGTTTTCCTAATACAAATGTTCAAAGTTCCCCAAAATTTTTTTGCGAACATGGCATGTTTATTGCTATTATAAAATCAATAAATGAACTTAGAGAAAAATGAAAGCCCCCAATGTAGAAACATGCCCTCCACATATACTGTGTAAGTTTCATGTAAATTGAATAAAAAATGAATCAGTTTTGTAAACGTTTGTGTCAATTGAAAAAAAAACAGAAATGAATAAGTTTAAGGTTCTAAAATCTGTGGTTAGGTTGACATCAACCAATTTTCTCCAAAATTGGCATCCTTACAGATAGGCTTACGTACAGTCAGGTGTGTAAGTTTGATGCAAATCGCCCGAAAAAAAATGAAAAAAAAAAAATTTGAATTTTTTTTTTTTTTTTTTCTTAAAAATTTTTTCCAATTAAACTAATTATAATATTTGTTTAATATATGCTATTGTGATAGCAAAGAGTCGTAGCTATGATTTCAGTTGACACTTTTGATTGATAATCGATTTTGACCATTTTTTGCATAATTTTCACAACTACTACAATATTTTTTTTCTCCCTTCCTATTTATGCTACGATGCTGAAACTTGGACCAGATGAAACACTTTTCATATAGAACTTGTCAAAAAAGTTTGATTGAAATCGAACGAGTTTTCATTTTTGCATTTTTGGACCACATGCCAACCAGATGCCCCCTTAAGTATATAAGTAGAGGGAGTATATGAAATGAAGGTAAAATTAGGAAATGAAGAAGATCAGTAATAAAAAAATGTATTGAAGATATGTATGCCAGTAAACAAAGGTATGCTGTGCCAGTAGAGTAAGTTAAGATTAAGACAGTAAGAGGATCTTGAATGATAGTGAAATACAGGAGATTAGAATGATTGGTAGGCAAATAATGTTATGGAGAATGAAACGGGATAAATGCGCAAGCTTTTCTGTCAGTTGCCCATTGATAATTGGGAATGCTTAAAAAATTGAGTATTCAACGTCAATATTTTGACAATAATTTTTGCAAAAAAGTCTATTGCCTTCACAGATCTAGATGAATTAATTATTTAAAATAATATATCTCTTTCAGAATGTTATTAAACAGGTGACGTTTTCCTTTCCCCCAGTCAATATACGAGTATCTTCAGATGTGGACTTTTACTCTAGTCTGCGGGATTATCCCTGGTTTCATGGCACACTCTCACGTTGTGATGCTGCTGCTGCAGTCCTTCAAGAGGCTGTTGCAGGGCATGGGGTATTCCTTGTAAGACAGAGTGAAACTAGAAAAGGAGAGTATGTTCTAACATTCAACTATCAAGGCAGGGCAAAGGTAAGCTATTGTTTTAATAAACTTTTAAAATTTGAATTGTAATTTCTATTTTCTTTGTGAAAATTATAATTATTTTTACATATACAGTACCTGTACTGTATTTGTGTGGAGTGCATGTATGTGTGTATGAGAGGGTATCTTGAGAGTTAGTAGAAATGTTATTTACCTTACTGTATAGTGGAACTTCGACCTACGAAGGCCCCTACTTGCGAATTTTTCGAGTTATGACCCCAATTTCATCGGAGAATTTGACTCGACTAACGATCTTTGCCTTAACTTGCGACTTTGTTGATACACGTGTGGGTCGACGGAACGAGTGGTTCCTGGTGGCACAGGCGACCCCCTCTTCAGTTTTCCAGACCGCCTGCTTAGCGAGGATTGCGCTTGAATTTTTTTTAAAGAATTTCATTGTTTTTGTGCTTCTTTGTTTTTTGGACATAAAAGTAATTATTATACAGTATATCATGCAATGGATCCCATGGGAAGAAAATGCAGAATAGAACCAGTGAAAAGCAGGAGTACCATAGGCACACTCAGAGAACACTGTATAAACATCAGAGTTCCTCGGTTGTTCAACATCCTACCAGTGAGCATAAGAAATTTTGCTGGAACAACCGTGGCCATCTTCAAGAAAAAACTAGATTGTTTTCTAAAAGAAGTGCCGGACCAACCGGGCTGTGGTGGATATGTGGGCTTGCGGGCCGCACCAACCTTGAGGTTACCTTGAGGTGCTTCCGGGGCTTAGCGTCCCCGCGGCCCCGTCGTCGACCAGGCCTCCTGGTTGCTGGACTGATCAACCAGGCTGTTGGACGCGGCTGCTCGCAGCCTGACGTATGAGTCACAGCCTGGTTGATCAGGGATCCTTTGAAGGTGTTTGTCAAGTTCTCCCTTGAACACTGTGAGGGGTCTGCCATTTATACCCCTCATGTGTAGTGGAAGTGTGTTGAACAGTCTCGGGCCTCTGATGTTGATAGAGTTCTCTCGCAGAGTACCTGTTGCACCTCTGCTTTTCAACGGGGGTATTCTGCACATCCTGCCATGCCCTCTGGTCTCATGTGATGTTATTTCTGTGTGCAGGTTTGGGACCAGCCCCTCAATTATTTTCACGTATAGATTATTATGTATCTCTCCCGCCTGCGCTCAAGGGAATACAGATTTAGGCTCTTTAGTCGGTCCTAGTAGTTTAGATGTTTTACTGAGTGGATTCTAGCAGTAAAGGATCTCTGCACGCTCTCCAGGTCAGCAATTTCTCCAGCTTTGAAAGGGGCTGTCATTGTGCAGCAGTACTCCACTCTAGAGAGCACAAGCGTTTTGAAAAGTCTCATCATCGATACAGCATCTCTAGTGTGAAAAGTACTTGTTATCCAACCTGTCATTTTTCTTGCAGTTGTGACGGCTACTTTGTTGTGTTCTTTAAAGGTAAGGACTTCCAACATGAGTACACCCAGGTTGTTTACATTGCCTTTTCGTTCTATGTTATGATTTGCCCGAGTTTTGTACGTGGTTTCTGTTTTTATATTTTAATTTTTTCCGTAGGCATGAGCTGGAACTTATCTTCGTTAAACACCATATTATTTTCTGTAGCCGATAAAAAGACCTGATATACATCTGATTGGAGGTTTACCGTGTCTTCTGTTGCCTACTCTCATGAAGATCCTAGTGTCATCTGCAAAGGATGATACAGTGCTATAGGTTGTGTTCTTGCATATGTCCGATATGAGGATGAGAAAAAGTACTGGAGCAAGCACAGTACCCTGGGGGACTGAGCTCTTCATGGTTGATGGGTCTGGATTTTATTTTGTTGACTATTACACATTGGGTTCTGTTAGTCAGGAAATTGTAGATCCATCTGCCTATTTTTCCGGTAATTCCTTTTGAACGCATTTTATGTGCAATAACACCATGGTCACATTTATCAAAAGGCTTTTGCGAAATCTGTGTAAATTACATCAGCGTTTTGTTTGTCTTCCATAGCATCTAATGCCATATCGGTCCAGCAACTGCGACAGGCAAGAGCGCCCTATTCTGAAACCATGTTGTCCGGGGTTATGGAGATGCTGTGATTCCATGTATTTTGTGATCTTATTTCTTTGCACTCTCAAAAATTTTTATGATGTGCGATGTTAGTGCTATCGGTCTGTAATTTTTTGCTTCTGCCTTATTTCCTCCTTTATGGAGTGGTGCTATCTCTGCTGTTTTTAGTATGTCAGGGATAATGCCAGTATCGAGGCTTTGTCTCCACAGAATGTGAAGGGCCTGCAACACACCAAGCAACAGCCTGTTGGACCAAGCTCTCGCAAGTCAAGCCTGGCCTCAGGCCGGGCATGGGAAGGAAAAGAACTCCCAAAACCCCATCAAGCAGGTATCAAGAAAGTCAGTGGTAAGGTTCAACATAAGAAAACACGTGTGAAGATGACCATAGAGGAAAAACAAGAGATCATTCATAGTGGATGAATATGATGTCTCACTACAGACAAGTGGTAAAAATGTAAGGAAAAACAAGTGTCTTTAGACAGATTCTTAGTAAGACACGCAAGCAGTGAGGAAGTGAGATCACACTTATCCCAAGTTCTTTCCCAAGAGGCAGACAAGAGGAACTCCAGCATATTTCAACCATCCTAAGTATTGTAGTACAGGATGATGATAGTGACTGGTGTCCAAGAGAACATAAAGGTATAGTGCTTTTGAAAAATAGGTGAGATAACAGGAATGTGCCAAGGGAAGTGAAAAATTGGATGAGAAAAAGTTGCCCTAGTGTTTCCAGTGCAGAGAACAACATTCAAGATGGCCGCCAGCAAGAGGAAATTCAAAACAGAGTTTGATTTTGCTGGATTCAGTGAAGAAAGCATTGATATAACCAGTCTATACAACAAGTTGGTAAAATTAGATAATATAGTGACCTCTCGTGTAGAAATAATTAGTAACTTGAAAGAAAGTAATAACCATTAACACTTTCGCCCGGGCATGACGCAGCATTGCGTCATCCGTTTACTGTCGGTAATGCCGGGGATTTACACTTTAAATAATCGCCAAAAATCAGGTTTTTATCCGATTTTTTGGGGACTGGTTTTAAAATGCGCGCCGATGTCTTCCCATTTTCTTTGTTGAGCCTCGTGGCCCTCAGATGGCTTGGCACACACCGTGGGCTCATTGTTTTCGCTCCACTGATGTGACCAATGTCGCCTCCCCTCGCATCTCAAACGTGTGAACATTTCGGCTATTTTCTGTGGCTATATTTCTTACTGCGGCTTTAGAAACTATCTACGCTTACTCCACGATGGATAGTGATCATGAACAAGGCCCTTCCAGGAAGAAAATTGTGAAAGAAAGGCTTGAAAAGGGCGGAAATTGGGAGTGTAGCTGGAAGGCGTCTGAGCGCTCACTTGCGGCTAACGCGTGGCCCGTCTTCAACTCGTCGGCGGTTGGAGCGTGACCAGGTTTTTTATTTTATATGCTAATGTTCCTCTAGAGAATTCCATTGCGAACCCATTGAGACCAAAATGAAAGACCTAGGACGAAAATTGAGGTGACCAGAGTGAAAATAGTGAAAACATTTTATCGGGTTTGCGCGCTCCTGAGTAACTCGTTAGCACTTTCTCTGTTTGCTGCGGGTAATTAGCTGGGCTTTTGGAGTTTATATGCATTTAGTGCTGTAGAGAATTCTATTGCGAACACAATGATACAAAATTTAATCTCGTTGGACGAAAATTAAGGTGACAAAGTTGAAGAGAGTATACACTTCAGAATTTACGCGCGCTCCCGTGACACCCTGGATCCCATATTGCACAGTTGAGGGGTGGCGCGCGGGGTATGCCAAAGTGTTAAATAGCAAAGCTCTATGTCTTGAGGGTTTAGTGAAAGACTTGCGCAAGGATAAGAATCAATTGGAAACAAATTGCAAAGCCATGGAAGAAGAAAATACTCTTAAAAATAGCTTTGGAAGAAGTTAAAGTAAATTTAAACATAAATGACTACAATAGGTTAGGTAAGGAAATTCAACAGGAGAAACAGCTTTTGTCAGCACAGATGGAGGAAGTTACACAGGGAATAGAACAGTGCAAGAAAGATATGCAACTCACTTATGCACAAGTGGCCAAGGAGAAGGAAAAAATTGAAGAAGCAGTAAAGGAAGCCAAACACTGCAGCAACCAAGATAAAACAAACATTAGGCTGGAAGTGAGAAAAGAATTGGCATCTAACCCAAAGTTGGTACAATACACAGTTGATCGGAGTAAGTCCCTGATAATTTTTGGCTGCAAAGAAAAGGAGATAACATCTAGGTCAGAAAGAGCTGTAGAAGAAGCAAAAGTAGTAGATAAAATTGTTGGCCTCGTGGAAGGTCTTACAACCATAGAGAATGTGTGCGACTACAGGAGAATAGGCAGATATGTAAAAGGGAAAGATTGACCTATGAGGATCACCCTAAATGGTGCCAAACAGATAGAAGAAGTACTAAGGAATGCTAGAAAATTACAAAGTGATGAGGATGGGAAAGTGTGGTCGTTAAGATGAGATCTTTCAAAAGAAGATAGAGAGAAGCTGAAACTGAACTTCGCCGAGGCAAAACGTTTAAATGAGAACAGGAATGAAGAAGAAATCAATTCTTTTTTCTACAAAGTGATAGGGGTAGGCAGACTAGTAAAGTGGTACATAAAGGCAAACCAACAAAATCATTAGAGAGAGGGGGAGTGAAAAATAAGAATAGGGGGAACAAGTTCCTGAAGATTGCATACACCAACATAGATGGAGTAAGATCGAAGATACTGGAGTTAAGTGATGTAATACAGCTGCAGACACCAGACATTGTTGCACTCACGGAGACAAAACTTGAAGATGGTACATATTTTAAATGAGGTCATATTCCCAAGGGGCTTCTCAATTTGGAGACGGGACAGAAAAATTAGGAAAGGCGGTGGCGTTGCTGTGCTGGTGAAAGAACACCTAAAGGTGAAGGAAATAATGACTGCCAATCCACAAGAAGTTGACATAATATCACTAGAGATCTGCCATGAGGATGATAAACTAATGATCATAAATGCATATAGTCCACCGCCAAGCAGCACATGGTCAAAGGAGGAGCTAGATAGTAAACGAGGTCTTATAACAATAATGAGAGAGATCATAGCGAGAGCGGATAGCGATAGTTCACGACTGTTGATAGTCGGCGATTTCAACTTGAAATCCATAGACTGGGAAGCATATGAAGCTAAAACAGAAGATTTTTGGACCTGTAAATTTGTAGACCTCATCCTGGAAACATTCTTGTATCAACATGTTAAACAAGCTACGAGGATGAGGGAAGGGGACGTTCCCTCCATGCTAGATTTGATATTTACCAGGAAGGTGGAAGAAATATTTGACATTCAGTACCTTCCTCCCTTGGATAAAAGTGACCATGTCTTTTTGGGAATAAAGTATGCAATGCGTTATAATCTGGAAGAAAATATGATAGTTGATGAAATTGAAAAACCTGACTTTAGGAGAGGACATTATGGCAACCTTAGAAAATTTTTTAGTGAGTGTAATTGGACAGACTTGTTGCTAGGCATGGAAGTGAATGAGATGTATGTTAAGTTTTGTGAAATATATAATAAAGGCACAAAAAAAATTATACCAAAACAGAGATGCAGAACTAGGAAACAGGATTGGTTCAACAGAAATTGCGAGAGGGCCAGAGACCAAAAGAGACAAAAATGGAATCGATACAGGAAGAGGCCAAACCCCCAAACATACCAGCGATACAAAGATGCTAGAAACAACTGCACGGCAGTGATTAGAGAGGCAGAAAGAAATTTTGAAAAAGGGATTGCAGACAAATGTAAAACAGAACCAGGTCTATTCTATAAATTCATAAACAACAAATTGCAGGTAAAGGATAATATTCAGAGGTTGAAAATGGGAAATAGATTCACGGAAAATGAAAAGGAAATGTGTGAAACATTAAACGAAAAGTTCCAAAGTGTTTGTACAAAATGAAATCTTCAGGGAACCAGATACAATAAGAATTCCAGAGAACAACATAGAGCACATAGAGGTGTCTAGAGACGAAGTGGAAAAAATGCTCAAGGAGCTAAATAAGAACAAAGCAGTTGGTCCAGATGGAGTTTCACCATGGGTTCTGAGAGAATGTGCATCCGAGCTCAGCATTCCTCTTCAACTGATTTTTCAGGCATCCCTGTTTACAGGAGTTGTAGCTGTTGTGTGGAAAAAGGCTAACATAGTTCCAATCTACAAAAGTGGAAGCAGGGAAGACCCCCTTAATTATAGACCGGTATCATTGACAAGTGTAATAGTCAAAATATTGGAAAAAATAATTAAAACTAAATGGGTAGAACACCTGGAGAGAGATGATATAATATCAGACAGACAGTACGATTTTCGATCTGGAAGATCCTGTGTATCGAATTTACTCAGTTTCTATGATCGAGCAACAGAGATATTACAGGAAAGAGATGGTTGGGTTGACTGCATCTATCTGGACCTAAAAAAGGCTTTCGACAGAGTTCCACATAAGAGGTTGTTCTGGAAACTGGAAAATATTGGAGGGGTGACAGGTAAGCTTCTAACATGGATGAAAAATTTTCTGATAGAAAAATGAGGGCAGTGATCAGAGGCAATGTATCAGATTGGAGAAATATCACAAGTGGAGTACCACAGGGTTCAGTTCTTGCACCAGTGATGTTTATTGTCTACATAAATGATCTACCAGTTGGTATACAGAATTATATGAACATGTTTGCTGATGATGCTAAGATAATAGGAAGGATAAGAAACTTAGATGATTGTCATGCCCTTCAAGATGACCTGGGCAAAATAAGTATATGGAGCACCACTTGGCAAATGGAATTTAATGTTAATAAATGCCATGTTATGGAATGTGGAATAGGAGAACATAGACCCCACACAACCTATATATTATGTGAGAAATCTTTAAAGAATTCTGATAAAGAAAGAGATCTAGGGGTGGTTCTAGATAGAAAACTATCACCTGAGGACCACATAAAGAATATTGTGCAAGGAGCCTATGGCACGCTTTCTAACTTCAAAATTGCTTTTAAATACATGGATGGCGATATACTAAAAAAATTGTTCACAACTTTTGTTAGGCCAAAGCTAGAATATGCAGCGGTTGTGTGGTGCCCATATCTTAAGAAGCACATCAACAAACTGGAAAAGGTGCAAAGACATGCTACTAAGTGGCTCCCAGAACTGAAGGGCAAGAGCTACGAGGAGAGGTTGGAGGCATTAAATATGTCAAAACTAGAAGACAGAAGAAAAAGAGGTGATATGATCACTACATACAAAATAGTAACGGGAATTGATAAAATCGACAGGGAAGATTTCCTGAGACCTGGAACTTTAAGAACAAGAGGTCATAGATATAAACTAGCTAAACACAGATGCCGAAGAAATATAAGAAAATTCACTTTCGCAAACAGAGTGGTAGACGGTTGGAACAAGTTAGGTGAGAAGGTGGTGGAGGCCAAGACCGTCAGAAGTTTCAAAGCGTTATATGACAAAGAGTGCTGGGAAGATGGGACACCACGAGCGTAGCTCTCATCCTGTAACTACACTTAGGTAATTACACTTAGGTAATTACACAACCAGGTCCCAGTGGTATGCAGGCAAAACATGAGAGAGAGAGAGTACCCCAGAGAAGTCATCATTACCTGATGTTTATCCATTAACTGAAAGTACTGAGCTTATGTATTCATCAGTGCTACTAGGTTAACTTATTAAATATGTCTTTATTAAATTTTATTTCTTCTTACAGCATTTAAGAATGACCATCAATCCAGATGGTGCATGTCGGGTTCAGCATTTATCATTCGCCACAATATTTGACCTGCTTGAGTACTTCCGTGACAACCACATCCCTCTGGAGTCGGGTGGCACATCTGATGTAACTTTGTCAGAGTTTGTTATTGCCTCTGACTATTCTGCTCGAAATGCAGGATTAGGACAAGGAGGAGCAGAGCGTAGACCACCAAACCTTCCTGACACTAGAGAGGTAAAAAAAGAAATCCTTTTGCACTTACTTTTATTTTAAATGTCATTCTCAAACATTAAAAATAATTACAATTTATATTGCAAAATATGTATTACACACATGTGAGCATAATTTGCAGCACATTGGATACAGTTGAAAGTACTGTATTCTACAATTCTGCTTAGGAGTCCAGAGTATGAAAGCAAAACTGTAATTATATTACAAGGTTTGGTCAAGTGCTTAACTAGTTCACTCCATTTAATTCTGACAACAAATTATAATTTTTAAACACAAGTAGGAGATATATTTCTAAACATGACAACACGGAGAACAATTAAAAAAAAATCATGACACAGAACCTAAACAGATTATATATTATTTAAGCAGTTGTATGTTGCCCTATATCCGAAAGCACATCAGTATACTGTTACTAGAAAAGATACAAAGACATGCTACTAATTGGCTCCTGGACCTAAGACACAATAGCTCCGAGGAGAGACTGGAGTAATTAGATATGCCAAAAACTAGTGTTTGAAAGAAATGAAGGTGACATAATTACCACATAGAAAATTGTAACAGGAATTGACAACATTTATAAGGCTCTTCTTCTAATGTCTGCAGCATTGGGAATAAGTGGCCATAAATTAAAACTAAGAAAATAAAATTCCTGAAAAAATGAGAGTAAATTATCTTTATTAACAAATTGGTGGACAGATGGAATAATTTACTTGAGAGTTGTTTATGTCAATACAATTGTAAGTTTCAAAATGACATTTGCCAAGGATTGTGAGAGATATAGGTCACCACAAGCATTATTCTCATCTCATAGCTACACTTTAGTAATACCAATAGCTTGTAGAATACATTTATTTATATTTGACTAGTTTTGCATTTTACTATTCTCCATAACCTATGTGTCTGGAGGAACCGAATAATGGCTCCCTGTAGCTAGCCACTGAGATAGTTCACCATACATAAGTCACATCAGCACTAGGAACCCTAAGGGCTGATGTAACTCATGGTATGTGGAGCTATCTCTGTGGCTAGCTACAGGGAGCCAAGTTTTGGCTCCTCCAGACACACAGGTTATATTGAAAAGTAAAATACAAAACCAGCCAAGCCATAGCCTGGTCCCCCCACTGACAGTGGCTTCTTGAGGTTATCTTGCTCAGGGGTTAGTAAATCAAAAGGTCACCTCTCGCTGAAGAAACATCAAGAAAGTCAGTGAAGCAAAACAACTTTAAGGTTCACAGAAAATAAAGAAACGAAGCAGAAAATGTTTCAAAACAACCCATCCAACAGTTAAACCCCCTAAGTTACAGTTGGCCACCTGTAGGTTGCAGCAGTACTGGGAGCAACCAGCTCCCCCATGTCACCATTTGTCATTCCTTCATGCAATGTAATTTACCTGATTTACCTGAGGGCCACTAACACTAGTGGCCTCGACGAGGACAGGAAGCTGGTGGCTTGTTGAAGGTTCCCCCCATTTGCCTTGACGATCCTTTCCAGGTGGATTTTAAAACCTAACAAATTTTGGCATTAGCGGCTTTGGCGATTCCATGCGTTTATAACCCTGTGGATGAAAAACCATCTCCTGCTCTCAGTCCTACATTGAGGTTTGTTGAGCTACAAACTGTTGCTCCTTGTTTGTGTTACATCTAACGTTTTGAAGATTTTTCTGTGAGGAACCCTGTCGGCTTCCTGGAGCTATCGGACTGATATTAGCTATATTATTCTGGGGTTTCAGTCACATGGAGTTCTGCCTACCGGGAACCACAAACCAGAACTTGGCTCCCTCAGAGAGGTGCAGGAGAACCATTGCAGGGAGCATTGGTTTATAGAAATTCCACTTTTTGAGAGTATATTCATGTCTGCGATCGACTGGGGTTAGGCACCCAGAAAGGTAGGCATCCCAAAACAGACCCTAACTGGTATAAAATTTCAACCCAAGACCGAACAGAGCCCACAAACTCCCCCTAAGAAAACAAGGCAACAAGCAAATTTTCATCAAACAAATGCACCACTCGCTCCCCCCCTCTCCCAGCAATGAAAAGAAAACCCCGAAAGTGCACCAAAACAACAGGAGGCCAGAGAGAGAGACGGCGCCTCAACTGGCGCACAGTGCTTGATAAATAATCATCAGGTTCATTACCGAGAAGATTTCCCTTCTTCAGTGGTGCAGAAGATGCAAGCTGCTTGGAGGCCACAGAAACTTTCAAGCAGGCCCAAGTTAAGTATGCTCATTACTATGACAAAGATGGCAAACCAATGAAAATACAGGAAGGCTCCATTGTGTTATTGTTGTCTGAGAGTAACCCATGAGGCCAGAGTATAGCCTTGTGGGATAGGTGGAAGGGACCCTGCAGAGTAATTTGGAAGACTGACCCTGCAAATGTTCCTGATCACCCATATTGATGATTGCGAGCAGAAGTTGGTACATGTTAATAAATTAAAAGTATTCCACCCTAAAAAAAAGAATTACACTTGCCCCATGCAGATCTAGACATTCAGGATACAGACGAGGCCATAAAAGAGGAAGATGATCCTCTGTTACAGTTGTTGAGTGGGCATGTTTGACCTACACATGCCATGCAGACAAGATCTAAAACTTGACTCAGTCCACCCTAGATTGCCAACTTCTGCTCTCCATGTGTAAATTGTTGTATACTAGTATTATGTCTTGTTTTAGCTAGTTAGGTAATGCACCACTATAGTTCTATACACTTGTCTTTGTTGTTCTGCCTGTTTTGTAAATCACGTTGGGGATGATTTTTAAGTTGTGACCATGTACACACCACTTATTGTCTTGACCCTCAACAGACTGTTGGTACCTGTTTTCGGACACATCATAGTGTGGACGATCTGCAATCGACCAACATTCAGAACACCCTATGGATAGCCCCAGGACAGCAACACCGACAAGTCGGACAAAATAAACCACGGATGGAGGTTGAGGAGAGGTAGGGCTAGTCTTTGAAAGGACATAATGTATTCTAAGAAAAGGAAGTCAGTAACAGCAAAAGCACCAAGAGGAAAAATAAATCGGTTATAATGGTCCTACACTTTGAAGAAGCCTAAGAAGAGGTGCAATGTAAAGTTACGGAAATTATAAGATACCGTGGAATACTGGGTGTCAAGTACCCCAGGAGTCTCCCTTTGAGTTCCCTTACGGTTATCAAGTGACCATCATAATCATTAGACTGTTTCGACTTGGGTTTTCCCTTGGAGACCATGGGAACAGTCAAATTAAGGAAACATGTGTCAGTAGTGTGGCATCTTGTTGTAACTGTTATGACAGTAGGTTACCTGAATGGCAGCCATGACTTGGCTCCCGTTACTCAAACTAACAGATGTCAGTAACCTATCTTGAGGTTATCTCAAGATGATTTAGGGGCTTAGCGTCCCTGCGGCCCGGTCTTCGACCAGGCCTCCTTTTTGTTACACACCCCCAGGAAGCAGCCTGTAGCAGCTGTCTAACTCTAAGATACCTATTTAATGCTAAGTGAACATAGGCATCAGGGTGAAAGAAACTCTGCCCATTTGTTTCCGACTCCACCGGGGATTGAACCCGAAACCTCAGGACTACGAATCCCGAGCGCTGTCTACTCAGCTGTCAGGCCCCTGTCAGACTTAAGATATAATCCAGGATCCAAAGAGGGGGGAACCTCTCATTGTTGATCCATATGTATGTTCTACTAGTTGCAGCCACTTTTATGCCTGCAATTCAAGAGATATTCTACATCATGCATACCACCCTCATACTCTCCTCCGTTGGTTTGGTCAGTCCTGACAAGTCAAGTGGAACAGTTCTGGAAGCGACCCTGAAGGTGTGAAGCATTGTTGTAAGTTGTAGAGTTTCCTGCTGTGTGGAACATGTGAGAGCCATCACCACTTGTGTCTTGGTTACAGGATACATAGTTGTCTGTCATTTAGCTAGCTAGTAAGCACCACTAGGATTTTGTATATTTCTGTTATGTTAGAATTGACTAAGAAAAATTTATGTAAATTCTTCAAATTTACATGAATTTTACATTTTCCCTCATCAACCCAGGAAGGGGACGTATGTAAGAGAGATTTTTGTGAAGTGTATAACCCAGGCGAGAGACATAGAATCAGCAGAGTTAAATGTTGAAAAACATTCTTAAACTCTTGCATGTGGAATCCCCGGCAGTACGATAATTAGTTCTGCAGAGGTGCAAAGCATTGTCGTAGCAGGAAAGCATCATCCCTAGAACAGTGTAAACGGCAAAGAAAATACATGTTTAAAAAGTATATTCAGTGCTGGAAAATATATTGAAACAACAGTGTTAAATGTTGAAAAGCAGCCTGGAACTTTATAAGACATATAAATGAACTATTGGAAGATACAAATGTGTGAAACATTATTGGAACTGGGCGGTTGGACACAGATGTGCTAGCTGTCTCGTTCGCTTGGTTTTAGGCAGGGATGGAGAACAGTCCGGTCATTGCTTGCATGATGTGGGGCGGTCTCCTACAATAACGATACATGCATTTGTATCTCGTACCCCCCTCCCTGTTCAGCCCGTTGACGCTGTGAGGGGGGCTTAGTGGGCAGCTGCCGGAGTGTGATGCTCCTTGGGACAGCCCTCTGCCCTTTTGTGGCCTTGTGCTCCTGCTGCTGTCCTCACTAATTGTGTTGAACGACTTTTCCTTTTCCTTCTGTTTCGTTTTTCTCCCCCCCCTCTTCTCCTATCTGCTTGTCGTTTCCTGCCGACCTTTTGATTGTTTTGGTTATTCCTTTGGACTTCTTCTATTTTGACGTCCGGGTGCTTGAGGAAGCATACTCTTGCACCAGTAGAACTGTAGTACCCAACGTCTCGAGCGAGGGTAACCTTTTATTGTCAATCCCTCTTTCATCACTGAATCCGATTTCGACGGACTGACGGTTCTTAAGGTGGCGTTTGTGGGGCGTATACTCAGGACAGATCCCTAGGGGGCCCCGGCATGATCGGCGATAGCTTCCTGTTGGGTGTCCTGCCTCTAATTGTGGCTGTATGGTG